TAAGTTTATTTTTATTTTATATTTTTGGTATAGTTTTTTTTTTTACGTTTATCTTACATTTATTTTATGTTATATAAGTATAATATCAGGCATTATAAATATCTGATTTTCGTAGCAGAAAATTTCCACCATTGATTTGCACATATAAAAGATTAAAGAAATGTATTATTAACAAAAGTGGTTTTGTTAAACTCATTCCATGTTAATTCTATTTTAAGTTAACATGCAAATTACAGTTATGCACCTTGTTTGCAGTTGTTCAACTGTTCAACTGCACCTTGTTCAGTTGATATTGGGGTATTGAATTGGACTCTACGCAGCACCTAAGCCTGCTGTCTGGTCCTCAAATCTCAGTGCTCCTGTCACATGACTCCAGGCTAATCCTCTCTCTCATCCTGTATCACACATTCACTAGCAGTGTTGCTAATCAGGGTTTGGAGGGCAGATTATGTTTTAACGATCCGAACCACTTTATATGTCATGACTCATGAGTCTTTGATTGGCAGGTTTTTGCCCATCTGACTGAAATCACGGTTATTATGTGGCGTTGACGATTTCACAGTCTGACTCAAGTGGAACAGCTCAGGTGTGTGCGAGCGCCTGCTGCTCACTCCGGCCCAGCAGAGAGACGTCCAGCGTGATTAGCACTGATAGAGACAGAAATGATGGGACGAATTTCTCAGAAGCATCACCAGGTCTCTTTTTTTGGAATTGTGACCTTATTTTCATAACAATTCAGCACATTTTGTCCCAAAATGCTTGTTACTGTAATACATCTGGGTGTTTTACTTTTGCATCTGGAATCTTTTATAATTCCCATAATTCTATTACATTCTCATTACAGTAATGCAATACTGTTTTAATTAAAATCTGCATGAATAAAAAGCAGTGCAACAGATACTAGCATAATGTATAAATACGTTCCATTTTTTCCCACATCACAGCAATGATGTTGGATTATGGAAAATTGAAGGAAATGTGCTTAACTGTCTTGAAAATAATACATCTTTCTAAATATAGGCTTCATTCTATTTAAATTTGACCTGGACATGTAATTTACAGATTTCGTGAGATTCACCCGATGAGAGAAAATGGCTGAGTGTCTTTAACATGAGGCAGAACTAGGAAAAAAGTCCAGTAAACCAATGCTTATGGGCACAGCAGGAAATCAGCCAACCAGAAATAGGAAGAGAAAAGGAGAGAAAGGGAGAGAGGGAGGCTCATAAGTAATTGAAATGGAGGTGATGTCGCCGATGGGCTGCACTGCTACTGTAACTGTGCAGCCGAGCGTTTGGGATAAAATTGCTTTCTAATTATTCAATCCACCTTTACTTTTCCTCCTGAGAGACAGAGAGAGAATGACTGAAAGAAAGAGAGAGAAAGATAGTCTCTGCATGTATGTTGATGAAGCATTTTACAGGTCGATATTTGCACGCTGTTTGTTTTGTTGTATTATGAGCCATACACTTAATGTGCATTTATTTTTTTCCCAGCATGCAGCAGCGTTGGGTGTGTGTGGCTTTACTGGCCCTCCTGACTGTCACATTGACGCTGGCAGATGGTGGAAAAACAGAGAAACACGGTAACAGAACATTTTCTTTTCTGTATTACTCTTACTGCTCTGTATTGCCACATATTGCTATATTTTACCATACATTGCTGTATATATAACCCCATACTTGTCTGTATTATTCTGTGCTGCTCTATAGTACCCCATGTGCTACTATATATTACCCTATTAGCCCACATTGCTCTATATTACCTCTCAATGCACTATATTATCCATCAATATACTGTATACATACAATATCACCACACATGACTCTATATTTCCTGCATTTCTCTGTATCACCCCAGATTGATCTAAATTTCCCCTTGCTCCTCTACAGTATATTATCCCCCGTGCTCTATACTACCCCCATAATCTATAATTTCCAACACTGCTCTATCTCTTCTATTCTTACTGCTCTGTATTGCCACATGCCACTCTGTATTACTCCATGCTGCTCTATATCACCCATGCCACTCTGTATTACCCCATACTGCTCTATATCACCCATGCCGCTCTGTATGACCCCATACTGCTCTATATCACCCATGCCGCTCTGTATTACTCCATATTGCTCTATATCACCCATGCCGCTCTGTATGACCCCATACTCTATATCACCCATGCCGCTCTCTATTACTCCATGCTGCTCTATATCATCCATGCCGCTATTTATTCCCCATGCTGCTCTATATCACCTATGCTGCTCTGTAGTACTCCATGCTGCTTTATATCACCCATGCCGCTATATATTCCCCATGATTCTCTATATCACCCATGCCACTCTGTATTACCCCATACTGCTCTATATCACCCATGCCACTATATATTCCCCATGCTGCTCTATATCACCCATGCCGCTCTCTATTACTCCATGCTGCTCTATATCATCCATGCCGCTATTTATTCCCCATGCTGCTCTATATCACCTATGCTGCTCTGTAGTACTCCATGCTGCTTTATATCACCCATGCCGCTATATATTCCCCATGATTCTCTATATCACCCATGCCACTCTGTATTACCCCATACTACTCTATATCACCCATGCCGCTCTGTATGACCCTATACTGCTCTATATCACCCATGCCGCTCTGTATTACGTCATGCTGCTCTATATCACCCATGCCGCTCTGTATTACTCCATATTGCTCTATATCACCCATGCCACTCTGTATTACTCCATACTGCTCTATATCACCCACGCCGCTATATATTCCCCATGCTGCTCTATATCACCCATGCCACTCTGTATGACCCCATACTGCTCTATATCACCCATGCCGCTCTGTATTACTCCATACTGCCCTATATCACCCATGCTGCTCTGTATTACTCCATACTGCTCTATATCACCCATGCCGCTATATATTCCCCATGCTGCTCTATATCACCCATGCCGCTCTTTATTACCCCATACTGCTCTATATCACCCATGCCTATAAACGATTAACAGGTGCAAGTATATGCAGAGTTTCTATTTAGGCTGTAGCACGTGTTTGCAGCATTGAGCAATGCAGTGCTGAAATTAAATGAAAATGCGTGCTCACGAATCCTCTCATTATAACACACGAATTGTAGACATTATGAAAGATTAATTATGCATATTCACTAATGCCGCTCTGTATTACCCCATACTGGTCTGTGTCACCCATGCCTCTCCATTTTACCCCATATGGCTCTTTATCACCCATGGCACTCTATATTACCCCATACTGCTCCATATCACCAACAACACTCTGTATTACTCCATACTGCTCTATATCACCCATGCCGCTCTATATTACCTTATGCTGGGTACACACTAAAAGATTTTTAAAATCTTATAAGATCTTCAAGATGTGAGAGACCACAAACATGAGGACAAAAAATCCTAGATTTAACCGTTTTGCTCCTATAGGAAGGGGAGAAATCGGCCCAAAATCAGCCCGATTATATTGTGGTGTGTACCCAGCATTATGCTGCTTTATCTCACAAACACCGCTCTGTATTACACCATGCTGCTCTATATTATCCCATGCTGCTCTGTTGCCCACACCATTCTATATTACAACGCTGCTCTGTACTAACCATGCTGCTCTATATCAACCGCACTGCTCTGTAATGCCCCATACTGCTCTGAATTACCTCTCAGTACTCTATATTTCCCCACACTCTGCTATATTATCCCACAGTGCTCTATATTTCCACACACACACTGCTCTGTATCACCTCACGCTGCTCTATATCAACCCACACACTCTCTCTGGCTCTCATGCCTACAATTGTACGGTGCAACATGAAAGTGTGTGTGCTCTCACTCTGACAGGTAAGAAAGAGCGTAAATCGGATTGTGGCGAGTGGCAGTGGAGCGTGTGTGTGGCTAACGAGGGTGACTGCGGCCTGGGCACCAGAGAGGGCACACGCACCGGCACCGACTGTAAACAGACCATCAAAACCCAGCGCTGCAAAATCCCCTGCAACTGGAAAAAGCAGTTTGGAGGTGAGAAGCCACACAAACACAGGTTACACACACACACATACACAGGGCTCAGGGTAAATAAGCCAGCGCTGTGGAGTAACAAGATGGATATTCTCACAGAATTCTGTCCTCAGAAATGACACGACTGCAGTGAGAGCCAGAAACAAGCTGGCAGAATATACCACTGTGTGTGTGTGTGAGTGTGTGTGTGTGAAAGCATATGCCACCTTCCCTCGGGATTTGTAGGTATGCACATAAACTATCAACAAACACTGAAACTGTAGGGTGTTTTCTTTAAGAAGTCTCTCTCCGGGAAGACCGTCTCGCTCTGAAAGAACATCAGAAATCACAGACTTAATAAAACATGATCACACTAAACATTGAGTGATGAATCCTCTGTGTATTTCTGTGTAGTTCAGCAGCCGTGTCATCGCAGTTTAGCATCGAAACGCTGTTGTCTGGTGCAGAATTTTTCCTCTTGAGTCTCTGTTGAGGACAGCGGCCATTCAGCCGGAGGGCTGCTGCATGTAATTACATTCTCTCTGCCTTTAAATATGCTATTAGAGACAATTTTGTGCTCGATTGAAGCCGTTTTAACCCCCATCCATTCCGGCAGAGACCGAGAGAAATCGCTCCAACGCATGGACAGAAAGAATGAAAGATGAAATGAGACAAGAGATACAGGAACGAGAGCATAGATCAGGGCTTTGCAATTGGTTTTGCTTCAGGATCCCGATTTTACATTAGCCGTCAAGTGCCAACCCAACACAGAACCTAAATTGTTTATCGTGTAAAATTGCATTTCGATGGTCTCATGCTTTCGGCAGCCAATAATTCACCTCGCAAAATGAACAAACTGTGCTCGGCATGAACCTCACTGTAAGTGAACCTGTATTTAATGTAGCCTGGATTGTGTTTTCTTTTCCCTTGTGTAGCCCGCAACCCGTTTTACTTCTATAATCTGATGTATTTCCAAGTGAAACAGGATATTCAACAAGAAAAACTGTGGTTTTAAACTTTGGGAGTTATTGCATGCTGAAAAGTTTCTCCGTATGACAGATGGTTGAAAAGGGATTGGAGACGGCAGCTGAAAACTTGTTCAAGATTATGAAGACAAACATTTATTTTTTCAGAATAACATGCACTGATGAATCCTTCACAATAACACCAGGAAGATGCATTGAGACAGTCAATTTGGATTTCGTGTTGACTTTAACCCTGTTTATGCATGTATGTTTGTTTTGCTTTTGCATTTGCAGTGTATTTTTTACACAGTTTTGTTGCATTTGAACTCGTCAAAATCAAGCTGTGGGTTTTTGTCTTTTGCAGGTGAGTGCAAATATGATTTTCAAGCTTGGGGAGAGTGTGACTCGACCACTGGAATGAAGACGCGCACCGGTGTGCTAAAGCGAGCGCTGATGGACGCTAACTGCCCGAACACCGTCAGCGCCACCAAACCCTGCGGCAAACCCAAGACCAAGATACAAGGTACAGGAACACACACATAAAGACACAAAAAGATACTGAGCATGCAATGTGCTAAACTTGAACAAATACAAAAGCAGTATCAACTGATTTGATTGGAGTGCTAAAAACATTTTTGCATTAATGCAAGACACCACAGGTGAATAGGGTAAAAATTATAATTACCATGCTTCCCTAGTTGATTAATCACAGTACATTATGACAATTGTTATGTATTACAAGTTTCCTGTATTGTTATGTTGAAATATGCAAACAAGGCATTATCTAATTAAATATGCACTAATTTGCATACATTTCCAGAATGGAACTTTTTGTTTCATTTTGTTAAGTGATTTTAGATTTATTTTTTTATCACTGCATGAATCAGAAAATACTGGCAACAGCCAGAAAAAAAAAAAAAAAAATTTCACCATGTTTTTAGGAATAAAATGTACTGTAATATAAACTAAGCAAATGATATCTAAACCCCTCAGTAAAACTCTTCAGAATATAAGTTTGATGTAAATGCTGCTGAAATGGAGAAAACTCAGGTTCCTGTGGCTCAGTGGTAGAGCATTGCGTTAGCAGCGCAGAAGGTTGTGGGTTCAATTCCCAGGGAACACACATACTGGTAAAAAAATGTATAGCCTGAATGCACTGTAAGTCGCTTTGGATAAAAGCGTCTGCTAAATGCATAAATAAATAAAATAAATAAAAATAAATAAACTCTCACAGCCTTTAAAGATATGGAAATCTACAGATGCAAGACCACAGGTGAATAGGGTAAAAATGTAATTACCATGCTTCTGTAGCTGATTAATCACGCTATATTAAGACAATTGATTCAATTACAATTTCACTGCAATATTATGTTTAAATATGCATTAAAGACATAATTTAATTCATTTGCATACATTTCCAGAACTGAAATCTAACATTAGATGAAGCCAGACTCAACATTTTGTTGACATTTTATAGAGGGGATTTTGGATTTCTCTTTTTATCACTCCATAAATCAATAAATATTGTCAACAAACCAGGAAAAATACATTTTCACCATGTTTTTAAGAATAACATGTTGCATAAAATCAGGCGAATGATATATGAACAAACCCCTCAGTAAAAACCATCAGAAGATAGACAGGAACGAAACTGTAAAGTTTGGTGTATATAAGTGCTGCTGAAGTGGAGATAAAAACTCATTTTGAGAAATGGCCTTTAAAGATATGCATCTACAGACTCAAATTGGTAAATCTGAATAAAATAAACACTTAAAGGTGTATTTTGGATGTTTTTCCCGCTAGTCTGAAATAAGAAGTTATAAAAGCAAAGTAGCCCAAAAATGGACCAGTGCATGAAAAAAATAACTTTTTCCTGTAATGTCTTGCCATAAAAAGAATAAAAAATCCCAATGATCCATATTTATTTATAATCCCAACATGCAGCATTATGCTAATGTTTGACATTATGGTATGTTTTTCTATACCGTATACAGGTCTGCATTTTGAACCGATCGTAAGGTTACGCTGAAATATTGATCAATAAGGTCTTTCTCTCGGTCTCGCGCTCAAGAAGATTCTAAAGACTGTATTAAAGTTTAATAAATGTGATGGTTTGACAGTGTATCCGTGTTAAAGGCCACAGATGGCTTGTTGTGTAGGACTGTGTGTAGCCGTTGTTGTCGTCTGTGCTTCATATTATTATGAAGTGAATATGCTGAGATTCATGGCAGCACTTGTACGTTACTGCAGTATTTCTAAATGCTACTGTCTCCCGCTGATGAATCCCTCGTTCTGTAATACTCCTCATTTATAAATCACTTTGGATAAAAGCATCTGCTAAATGAATAAATGCAAATGTAAATGTTGGCAAAAATTCAGGCTAATCGGAAGAAATTCGTCTTAATCTACCAAGAGCATCGTTTTTCAATCTGAAAGTCGCAGATTTAATTTTCCACCGCAAAACAAAACACACAAACAGACAGCAGCATCTGAATTTATTTAACTGAGTTTAATTAAGTCGAAGGAAGAAATGGACAGCGAACCTGTTAAAGATGACATTCAGGTCAAGAGCAGCTTTTCTAAACCTCATTAACCAGTGTTAAAGTGCTGTTGTGAATGTCTGGATCAGGCTGCTGGATCAGAATGAGAGAGGGAGATGGATTTGTCTGTAATGGATGTGACGGGTCTCGATTTGGACTTGAGCTCAAGTGCTGCTGCCACCCTGAAAGAGCTTAAAGAGCCCAATCCATCATCAAACACCAGAGATGAAGAAACATAACCGTCTCAATATGAACTCAAACATTTCTTAAAAAATAGCTTCGTACTCTTAATGCATGTCAACAACTGACCCATTTGTGTCTGCTTTAATGTCTCTTTCAGGAGAAACATCATTCCAACTCCAATTTGGAATTAAGATTTTTTCTGCTCACCAAGGCTGCATTTATTTGATCAAAAATACAGTAAAAAGTTTAAAATAGTGAAATATTATTATAATTTGAAATAGCTGTTTTCTATACGAATATATAGTAAACTGTCATTTATTTCTGTGATGCGCAGCTGTATTTTCAGTATCATTACTCCAGTCTTCAGTGTCACATGATCTTCAGAAATCATTCTAATATGCTGATTTACTGCTCGAGAAACATTTCTGATTATTATCAATGTTGAAAACAATTGTGCTGCCCAGTATTTTTGTGGAAAATTATACATTTTATATTTCAGGATTCACAGATGAATAGAAAGCTGAAAAGAACAGCATTTATTTGAAATAGAAATCATATAACATTGTCTTTACTGTCACTTTTGATCAATTTAATGCATCCTTGCTGAATAAAAGTATTAATTTCTCTTTTTTTAAGTCATACCCCAAACTACACAAAATATTGTGCAGCATAACTGTTTTCAACATTGATGATAATCAGAAATGTTTCTCAGCAGGAAATCAGCATATTAGAATGATTTCTGAAGATCATGTGAC